GTAGGGAAAAATAGAGCAGTAAATGAGTTAGGAATGAAGATACTAAACACAGGGTTTTCTTCACTTGGGAGCATGCTTAACATGGATTATATATTTGCATTCATGCATTTAATCTTCATCTTTGAGGCATGGACATGCTACTTCTGTCTTTCTCCTTAGGGCTTGTTGTAAAACTCTATTCAGACCTTTGTGGTGCCTCACAGGAATGCTATGGAGGATCAGCATCCTGCTTTTGTTGAAGTTCTGCTTTTGTCCTGTTGTTCACTTGACATAGTCACAAAGAAAGGCTACTGGATGTTGAATAGTAGCTTGTGATGAATTTGATCTTTTCAAACCCCAAGCCTTTCACTGTCATTGCTGTCAATAACCTATTGCTTCTGTGCTGTTTAAAAAAATAAAAATAATAAGAAAAAAATCTCTGCTCTACACATCTGGGGAAAAAAGTGGACTGTGTTTCTCTGTTGGTTTTATTATTATGGAAAAAAAATAAGAAAATGGTATTGTTCTGTAAGGAAGATGGGATTTTTCCATTTACGTATTTCAAATTATACACTGTGGCATGTTCAAACAGTGATTATGAAAGGACTGGGATTTAAAAAGTAAAACCTTGGTGACTTTTGTAGTCTTTTCAGCCTTTCTCAATTCTGCAAAAGTAAACATTATAAAGCAGTTGAAATACACTTGAAAAGCGGGGGTGAGGGGAAAGCAACCTTCTCCTGTCTCAGAACAGAGTACCTGTGTTTGCACTAATAAAGATTATTCCCATGTGAACATCTTAAGGTCTGCCTAGGGACCTACCTTATCTGTAACTCTTAATTCCAGCTAATTGATTGCCCTGCCTGAGATTATTTCAGACTTCACTGGGTATAGCATTTGAAGTGAATTGCTGCAAGAGTGGAATGGGAAGAGGTGGGGTTATTGGGATGGAAGAGTTACTCAGGAGTTGGCACTAATGAGACCAGCAGTGAGGACAGAAAAAACCAAAACCAATAAAAAAGCAAACCCCACAGAGCAAAACAGTGTAAAGCATCTTGAGGAGTAGCTGTAGAGTTACTCATTATTTGAACTGGGCCCTGTGAGACTCCTTTTGGGAGGGAAAGTGTTAAGACTTGTTATCCTGTTTTTGTGAGAGTAATCCTTCAACAAGAACTGGAGAAGTCACATTTAGCATTTCCGCTTTCGTTACCTATTAAAAATATGTAACTTGTTTGGCAGACTTTTGCACTCAAGTAACTTGTGTTGGTGTGGTATGATGTGTCAGATTTACAGTGATGGACCTGCATTCTCTGTGCCTCATTTCTCTTTTTCCCAAAAATGGCATGGATACCAGCTTAAATATGCTGTGGTTTTATGTATCACGTATTCATTGATGCATGAAGTGTGAACAAATGCATACAGTGATCACACATTTAGTATGGGTTTTACATCTAGTAGGCAAAGCTGCATCCGCAGTGGATGCTGTAAGAGAGGAGGATCCTCATCCAGAATCAGAAGATGGTAGTTACTCACACTAGGGTGAGTCAGTTGGGCCTTCTGAGCAGGGGAATGGGAAAAGCAGACTTGAGGTGCCTATATTAACTTTGAAACAAAGACCCTGCAAAAGTAAATTACTGTTTTCAATGCCCCTGATTCCACTTTGGTAGGACAATTTTTTGCTTGCCTGCTGGACACTGAGCCACATGGTTTCTCAGAAGTATTTGCTACTAAGGCTGGAACCACTGAAATCCTTCCTCAGTGCATTCAAAAGTTTGTAGTACTTCAGTAAGATCGTAGAAATAGCTTGAAGCTGTTCTTTAAAACTGTTGCCACAGGATGGAGCTGTTGCACTGCCCAAATACGATCTGTCGCTTGGAACTGCAACAAAGCGCTATTTTCAAGGCTAACCTAAAACTGGACTCCTGTCGCTTTATTATTCACCAGTCCGTGTAGTGTGGCTTCAGTTTATCCACTTTTGAGAGGTAGGAAATTTAGAGGTGGTGTTAGTTTGCTGATTCTAGATCGACTTAGTTTCTTTTAGAGGCAGCTTAGTACCATATGACAAGCCCAGGTAGTGAGGTAATAATCCACATAAAGGGGATTTGGTTCATGTATCACAGAATACATTAAATATTAAATTTGGAGGTTTTAAAGTCTTTATTAAATCCATATTTGTGTGTTAGAAATGTGCCAAGAAGTGTTCTAATGAAGCAGCACCTGAGGGTTAATAAATGATATCATGAACCCATTCTGATTGCCAAGAAAGATTTTAATAAAGGAAGCCATGCCCAGGATTGACTATTTCATCCATGAAGAATAATTGTTTTGTTTCCATATTTGTTTTATTAGTTGGTTAAAACAAGTTTTCTTATTAGCATCAAGTAATTTATGATTGTCCTGCATATTTCTGTGTTATTTGCATAAAGAGCTAGCCCTCAGTAGGTCTGTTGATGCGAATTGTAGGAGTGAGAGATGTTACTTTGATTTCATGAAGAGCTTCTATGTTTTACTGATTTTCACATTCAGCTCATCTTTCTCTCTTCTCCTCCCTCCAAACATTCAGAGTGAAGTGAAGTCTGAAGAGGGACCAGAATGGAATATACTGCGTGATGACTTCATGATGGGAGCATCTATGAAAGACTGGGACAAAGAAAGTGATGGAGAAGCCAATACTGAACAAGGAGGTGGTCTGAAACAAGAAGATGACAGTGACTGAATGAAACCAGAAACCATTCAGGATAATATTTTATCTTCTTTATTTGGATAAAAAGTCAGCATTCTGTGAATGTACAACACTTGGAGGATATCTTTAAAAAAAAAAAATAAGACTTGCACAACTTTGGAGTGTTTTCTCCTCCATGTCAAGCTTTTATTTAATATAACTTCATTTGCTATACTGAAATCCTGAAATATTTTCCAAAACATGTATAATTTTCAACATATTTCCAAAACATTTTGTACAGTCAAAATAGTGGCACCTGCCCAATAAAAGAAAGATTTTGCCAAGGTCATTACAAGTTTATACATTAGTCATGGCCATTGATGTATTAGTGTGCCTGCATTTCCAAATCAGTGTTCCACTTTGAAAAGTTGTTAGCAATTCGCAATAGAAATTGCTTACAATAAACACAGAAATGCCGTCACCCTGTAAAGTTATCGGGCTCTTATAGATTCTTTACTACTTTGACCAGGAGAGGTTTTGTAGATAATAAAGAAAAGTAACCATTAATGTGATAGATCTGGCCGTGGAGCATTAGTGTGATTGGAGACAACTCTGGAAAGATAGTTGTAAGAAGAGAGACTTGATCCTACTGATTGATTTTATATTTATATATGTATATGTGTTTCTATATATGTGTTTTTTCATTGCAAGTCAGATGTTGTATAAACTGAGAGACTTGTAGGAAAGGAAAGGACAGTCCTTCCTATTGTTTTTGTTGCAGGAGGGACAGCTTTTCTGGCAGTACTGCATGAAATTGTATCCAGTGTTGCTTAATTTGCAGTTCTGGTGTTCTGGCCTTTTTCAGTAAGGAGCTGGACCTCCGAAATGTGTCCTGTGGGTTTAGTCAGCTATAATGCTAATTCCTCAGTTCTGTAAAGGGCCAAGGAAAAGCCCTTCCTCTTAGGTGCAGCACCACCAAATTTTGGAAAATGTATGTCAGTGTAACACTTAGCTTTGCTTAAGCTGCAGCAGTTTCTCCTAATTGTTCTTCTGGTTGTTTGGTTGCAAAGGTCAAAAGATAACTTATTATAATATATATTCTATTCAAGCATATACACACAGAAGGAGGTGCATTGTTATTAAGGTGTTTTAAATGAGAGGCTGGGGTTGAATTCTGCTGCTTGTACTGTTCTAGGCTGTCTGATGCTGTGTTGTTTGTTTAACTTTGCTATCGTGTTTCCCCATTTGCTATGTGAAGAAAATGCCTTGGGGCCTGTTAATTGTTACTTAAAATACATAGTACAATTCTGTCTGTTTCTATAGGTGCCTTGCATACAAGCCTTTCTTTGTACCTACTTATATGCAAGATATGATTAGGAGCGACTTCTAAATTTCAGTCTTCAGCATTGAAATGTGTGGAAGGACAGTAGTTTTAGATTTTCCTAACAGAAGCACTGAGGAGGGAAAAGAGGATTGAACTCTGTGTATACTGCAGGATAAAAAATATACATACAAAATGGCAGAGAAACCCATCCTAACACTGGCAGTGGTTGTGTTATCCCTAGCCTATTCATCTGGTATATAGCGTAGCATAATTCTTTGAGGAGAACTTAGAGCTAACAGCAGAAATGTTTAGATTTTCAAGCTGTTTTGAGTGTTAAACATATTAGACATCTGAGGAGACATTAGTTTGTGGCCTGATATATTTATTATCACAAATGAAGACATCCACCCAAAATATCAAGTGGCAAAACCACAGAAGTTGGACATATGGTTATCCCAGCTTCTGAAGGTTAGACATCTGTATAGCTGTTCACCAAAAGCTGACGTCTCATTAGTGCAATACAAGAATGTACAATGAATTTTGAGTCTATGTAACAGAATGACAGTCTAATCCGACGCTGCTTTCTTTCTGCACTTTAGTTGTTTGGTGTGGAAAAATTACATCAGCACCCTTACATCTGTAGTCATTCACTAGTTTGATATCACCAGTCTTCATCTGAGATGAAACTTGAAAAATAATTTTTACTAGTTTTTCTTAGGAAATAGAATATCACAGTACAAATCACAATATGATGATTTTTGAAAAATTCAAAATACTTTCAGAATACTTCTACAATACTTAGGTGTTTGAGTTCTGTTTGTGCATTTCTAAGTAATTTTTTGATTAAGGCACTGAAATGTTGCTTGTGTATTTAAGAAAAATGTGGAATGCATCAATATTGCTAAAAATCCCTTGAGCTTCCATTTATTTAAAGAGCACAGTGGTACTTTTTGCCTACAGGTATAGAGCACTGCTTACCTTTTAAGAAGGATAATACTCAGTTTTTTATGCATATCTAATAGTTTTTTAGATTTTGGTTCTGTATCTTGGTTTTGCCTTGTCTTTGGTTGTGCCATATGAAGAGAAAACTTGAATAACTTAAATTGCTTACTACCTCCAGCGATAAATAAGCTCAAGACCTACAGCGGATGGGAGTTGTCTACTTTAATTTTAGACTTTTGGTGGCCAATTTAATCTCATAAGTTTTGTTTTAATTGACTAGCAGTTCCAAAAAGGAGCTATACCCTGTTTGGCCAAGGCACCTTCTAGTCTCCTCTCTCAGCTGTGGGATTGGATTTCCTCCCCACTTTCTTGCCTGCTTTTTTGGCAGTTTTCTTTCTTTTTGATAGCTACCACAAACAACCTTCAGTGGCTTTTCCCAGCCATCGGAGTGCTCGGTCTGTTTTGCCTGCTCCCATGAATATCTCTGCTTAAGCAAAGCTGTGCTGCTGCCCTTCATTCCAGAGAGCATGAATCATCTCAACTTTGTATATTTCTGTACCTATCTATATAAAGCCAATAAGGATGGGGTGGTTCCAGTTTTGTTAGGCTTCAAGCCAACTCCAGAGTATGTGGAGTTTAATATTCTATGGATTGCATGCAAAGCAACAAAGTTTTGTTTAATAAGAGAAGGCACAGGGTCAGCTCTTCCCCATGCCTCTCATCCTCTGGTCTAATTTCTCTTCAGCAAGGAAAGCATGAGTTGGCCCATGGAAAAAGAAAAAAAAGAACCATCTTCTCCCTGCTTTTCTTCAGCCTGCTTTTAGGAAGGCACTTCAGGAGTGGTGGTGGAATAACCTTGTGGTGTCTGATGCTACTGCACTATGGGCTCTGCCTTGCTAAAAGAGGGAAGAGCTCCCACTTCTGCAGCTGTGAGGCAGGTTCTCCTGGGTTCACAAGTTGATCAGAACGAAAGAACTGGAAGCTGCTGCTTGGGGCCCCTGCTGCTTCCTAGTGGAGGTGGGGAATTTTGTGTGTGTGTTTTGTTTTACAGAGGGAAATGAATTGTTTGGAGGCCATAAAAGTGTTTCGACTGTTGGATGCTTCCAGAAGAAGGTGGTCTGTAAAGCAGCATCTGTTCATTGCTGGCTCAGTAGCTGTCTCCAGGGAGGAAGGCAGAAGTCATCTGGCACACAATACTCTGCACATCTTAAAATGACAGACTCCTAATTCTTATGAAATGAGTGCTGGCATAGTTAATATCCACACAGAACAGTCATCAGTATTCACTTCCAGACCCTGAAAATTGCTCAATGATTTCTTCAAGATTTGCTGAGGTAAGGACTAAGAGGGCCAGGAGAAGGCTTGAAGTAGGGAAGACTCTTAGGATCTTGTTAGAGAGGATCCTAGTGCTAAATAAGATGTTAAACTTAGACTGTAGGACCTCAGTGGCAGATGATGGAGACCAGACAAGTCCTTGATTAGCAGATGATGGAAGACTGTTGTTCTAAAGCAATGGCTTTTAACCTCTGTCAGCATCTAAACCTTAAAGGTTTCAGCTCTGTAGATTATCTAGCAGATAAGGGCTGTTCCGTAGTCTTTCTTTTCCAGACTAATAGGGCAGCGAATATTTCGTAGACAAAGCATTTTGTTTCCAAATGCATCTTTTTAATGGCTTTTTGTCTCTTCAGGGACATGTTGAAATAAAATTCCAGTCAAACTGAATAGCTTCAGCACCAAAGATTCTGGTGTTTGTGTAATGCTTCATCCTTTGGAATTATTTCTTTTTGTTCAAATCCATGTGTTTAATCTGTTGGGTATCAAATTGTAAAATGAGTTAGGACACTTTCTTCAAGCCTTCAGATATGACCTCATGAACACAAATGGCTTCCAAGAGACACTTAGGAATACTCATAAAAAGTGTTATTTCTTCATAGTGCCTCGGTCATTTCAATAGTCCATTCTCTTATGCCAGCAAGTGAACTGCTTGAGTATTTTTTTGCAACACTTTCTTAATGTTTCTTAAGTCTGTTTTCACTATATGTGTTTTTAATTGTGAACTACTAACCAAGATCAGGCTTGCATTGAGGTTTGATACCATTAGGATTTTTTGCAGACATAAGACTTCTCAAAAGTAGCTAAAAAAGATACACTGGTTACTCTTCTTCTACTAGAGGGCTGAGTACCTTACAGGTTTTTTAACCAAGATAGGCATCACTGTATAGCACTCCTTAAAGATGAAGGGTGATCAGAACTACACGGTTGGCCTTTCCACCTTTGTGTAGGTCTGCTTCCTCAGTTACAATCCTGATGAGTTTCAAAAGAGCTTAAGGTTCAAAAGCAAAGGATGTTACACAGATTCATGTTGGAAGCCATAGCATGGTTTTATATATTGTTTTATAGGTGAGTGAAATACTTGACAATACCTGCTGAAATCTTGTTACAGACTTAGTATAGAAATATTTTTTAATTAAGAATGGACTTAATAAAATTCTTAAATGGGTGACACTTGATGATAACTTAAAAGAACTTAAGATTTTTTAGAACCTTCAGGCAAGATTCTCAATTTAAGGGCTAATGATTGCCAAAACAGTTTATTAGACCTAGGTATAAATATATTTCCAGTAAGAAACTTGAAGAAATCCAGCCTGTGGGGTTGATACCGTGACGCTCCTTGTCGATTGTGCTGGCAAAGAGACCAGACCCTGCAAGATAGTAAACACCTTTCTGATGCACCAGTGAAATCATCAGGACAGGTCAAGATTGCCAGTACCACTGCTGTTCTCTTGACTTGCTAATATTTCTTATTTTTTCTCCCCTTCTTAAAACTCCTGAAGCATTTTTTGGTATATGGTGTTATCAGCACCTTTCTCATTTATGGTATCATTGCCTAGAGTTAAAAGTAGAAGTCAAATGTATCTTTTGTGAAGAATATGCTTCAAGTATGGAGGGAAATTACTTACTTGTGGGCATTTTGTAATGTCAACATTGTGCTTGCCAGAGACAGGCCATTCTTACTCACTTCAGTTGCTGCTGCAGTATACTGCTGGACCATCTGCCTTGTGACAATTTTTTTTTCTTTTTGTACTACATAGTTAGGTTTTGGTTTGCAGAATGTTTGTCACTGATTAAGTAAACATAGTTAATACTTCATTAATAAAACACTCTGGTGTTATGTTTATCCTTAATAACTAAGAACTTAGTACCCTAACCTTAGAAAAAGTTTAATGT